AAAATATGTTGAATTATAAAATACACATTCATAATAGTATTATACGTTTTATATAAAATATGTTGAATTATAAGATACACATTTATGATATTATTACACGTTTTATATTAAATGTGTTGGATTATAAAATACACGTTTATAATATAATTTTATTATACGTTTTAAATAAAATATGTTGGATTATAAAATACACGTTTTACATAAAATACACTGAATTATAACATACCCTTTTATATTATTATACGTTTTATATAAAATATGTTGAATTATAAGATACACGTTTATAATTTTATTAAACGTTTTATAAAATATGTTGCATTATAATAGTAAGTGCAGGAGGACCGCACTACACGTAAAACAAAAATCTACAAGATAGACCTGCGGACAAGACAGAAAATAGACATTGCACCAAATAAACAAATAACTTTATTATAAGTTTTACCAAAAATATGTTAGATTATAAGATACACGTTTCTATTATTATACTTTTTACATTAAATATGCTAGATACACGTTTATATTATTATACATTTTACATAAATTAAGTCGGATTATAAAAAGATACAATTTTATAATATTATTAAACGTTTTATATAAATATGTTGGATTATAAGATACACGTATATAATATTATTAAACGTTTTATATAAAATAGGTTGGATTATAAGATATACGTTTATAATATTATTAAACGTTTTGTATGAAACATGGCGGATTATCGGATTATAAAATACACGATTATAATATCATTACACGTTTTGTATGAAACATGGCGGATTATAAAATACACGTTTATAATATCATTACAAGTTTTGTATCAACTATTGTGGTTTAGAAGATAGACGTTTACTATATGGTTATAATAACATTAGAGGTACATTTATGTGTTACAAAATTAAAATCATAATATGAAATATACTGAATTATCACATACAAGTTTAAAATATTATAGTAATATATGGTTTCAATAACAATGAAGTTACAATATAAGTTACATAATTGGCATACACAGAATTAGCCTGAATTTAGGGTAATATTAGCAGGAATTGGCGTAAACAGCAAACTCCTCTAGATATTCACCAACTGCATCAAAACAAAATTTTAACTGTTCCTGAAATTAAATTTACATAATCATCAACAATATAGACAATTCACAACGTCGGTTATAAACAGCTTAGTGAACATCCAGCCTAAAGGATGCATTATGACTGTTGGAGCAATCTAATAATGCAAACTTTTATTCAAGTTAGAATTGCATGCTCATGGAACACACTGTGTTTAATTACAATACCTTTGGTAGTAGATTGTCTTTTAACTCTACACCTACACGTTATTCCCGCACGTTGGGTCCGTAATAAAATGGTATTATAAACTGTCACGTGCGATGTTTCAAGGCTTCGATGACAATGTCAACAAAATGTAAAATAATTATCACTGGTGATATAATCTTAACAACCCTAGTTATGTTTGAAACAGTTCTCACATGTTCATCTTCATTTATGAAATGAAATGAGATTGGGTTTAGCATCCTAGCTAATGAAGACGGTCCTACGCCATACTGTCGCCATACTGTGTGCTATGAGGGACACTCTGCCCGGACAACGGCATACGGTCTAGCTTTATATCAAATTCCAACTGTGTAAACGGGACCTCGGTTTTTCGTCCCATCTGCACGACTATACGTTGACCCTTGTCAGGCCATCCGTCTTACATCACAGCGACGAAAAATCTCGATGAACTTTTTCAGCCAAAATAACGATTGAGAGCGGGACCTCCGGGTTAACGAACCAACGTCTTAATCACTGACCCACCGTGGCTCCCATGATTTTTTTGACTGGAAGAGCTGATGTACATCTCTGCCAGGGTTTATCTTGAACTAACTAAATAATACAAAGGGTCTAAAACACAAGACTAGCCGGTAATCGTAGTTCACGATGATTAACGGACGAGGCCGACAACAATATGTGGCTAATCTAAGACAAACGGCCAACTGGTCGTTCACAATATTCAATGCCGTGATATGATTCATAATACTTACGAAAGGGGCCATAATCTGAGGTCTAGAAACTCTTAATTGAACTAAAGTCTGTAAAATACTGACATCATGTTCTATAGTTAATCTTTCTAATATAGCTGCCAGAACACAGAATACACTCGATTTCTCTACACCATTTCTGAAAATGTAATATTGAAGGAAAACTGGATTTAACAAAGTAAATCGACAATGTAGAGCCATTGCTATGTGTATTGCGTTAATGAGTAAATCGAATTACGATGAACTATGATAGATTCATAAAGTATAACAACGTGCAGACAATGAAATATGATAGCTTCATAAAGTTATGGTTGGAAACCATCTTCATTTATATTGTTTAATATAGTAAATCAACTTACAGACAATGAACTATGATAGGTCCATATTATATTCACAACGTAAAATATCTTACCGACAATGAACTATGATAGGTCCATCTTCATGTTCTTGTGACCATGCCTTGATATCGTCTAAGAGAGTGAATATTGGACCGGCTGATTTTGGTGCCCTTTTATTTGGGTTCCAGAAATTACACTGATAAATTTTAATTCTTCGTTGTAGATTTTCCTGATGGATGGACACAAACCAATAAATCCTTTACAGACATTCATGTCTTCTTTATATTAATGATAAACAATTACTGACTCTTCCCCAATCTGTTCCAGTTTTGCAAGATATTACATTAAGTATTTACAATTAATGACCCTGACCAATCTATCCTAGTGTTGAAACATTATAATTTATCATCTAATAATACAATCTACAGTAGATATCGCTTGTGTGATAAATTTCATAATCTACTTTACATGAATTGCATTGGTCAGTTAAAAAGGAACTACTTTTTTGTATTTTCAAAGAACATTTCATTTTTTTATTAAAAGTAACTTTTTGTTTTATTAAAAATGAATTATTTTTATTTACTTGACCTCGATGGAAACACTGTGTCAATATAAAGGACTTTGCAATAGTTGGATTGCTATCAAAAAAATGATGTATCACTACGCCGTTATGTAATCAGGTTCAGTAAAAGTGAAGTCTATAGCAAAGAATTTTATTTATTTAATGTTGCATGTAAAAAAAGGATTGGGTGATAAATAAAATCTCCTACTCGTCTTTTTTGATATCATACGTCGGAATAAGTTGTCTAAAACGTTATAGTGTGACAGGCCCAATACCACCGGACAGGGGGAACATACGACTTGGTAACATTATATTAAATTAATGGTTTACAATTAATGATATTTTCTCAATCTGCCCTAGTGCTGTAAAATTGTATAAATGAATTACAATTCGTGATCCTTCTAAAATATGTTGTAACATTATATTATATTAATACTTTACAAATATTAATCCTTCCCCAATCAGCCCTGGTTCTGTAAAATGATATTATATTAATGATTTACAATTATTAATCCTTACCCAATCTGACTTGTAACATAGATTATCATTTTATTATCCATCACGAATATTCTACAAATTCGTGCACAGATTTGCGTTTATCTCCCTTTATCAGAATAAAAGAATGGTTAAAATGGCGACAGACACAGAAAAGGGTGCAATAATACAGTACGTAACAAATGACTAAAATATTACACAGAAATATATAATGATGATTACAAGGTATTAAATTAACAACGAAAGGTCCTACTTACATCTAATTCACTGTTAATTAAACAGGTAACGACTGAATAAATACCATTCTCGTGTGTTGTTTCATCTTGTTTGATAATATTATATGGTCCGCACTTCAGTTCATCGGTTGCTGGTACATATTGTCCAATGTCCTGTAGTGTTGAAATATAGAATTAGAAAGGATAACAAAACCTTTCCTTTGAGTAATTACATACCACCTTCCCATAAAATCATAAACTTCATTTACAAAGCGTTCAAAATATATTTACAACTGACGTATTTCACCATTTTGTAATTTGATTGCATGGGTTCATTAATATTTAAAATTGTTACCTTTCCTGTTTCTGATATATCCATATTAACTATTGTAGTAACGTCTTGTTCTACAACCATCGTCCAGAAATCTATCACTGTATTTGGTAAGGGTGTTTGGGTCAATATATAAGCACGTTTCTTTGTGTAACTCTGAAAATATACGAAAATCTTATACAAACGGAACTATTCAGTTTTTGTTTAGAACACATTAGGCGATGAAAGTCATGGATAAAGCGTCTCAAACACAGTAGGCTACTTTGTTACCGATATGTTTCTAAATTCATCAAATAATATGGTAATAAATGTATAACATGCAAATGAAATATACTGAATGGTATAACATTGTATAAAATACTGAATTTTAAACTATTAACATGTATAACATTCAAATGTAAAATACTGATTTATCTACAATACCGAATCTCAAAGTATTAAACTGTAAAACATTCCAATATAAAAAAATGTAATTGTAAAATATGTTTGTACAACTTCTTCTCTCAATAAATCCAAATATTAAATCTGGCTTATATTTCATTTCTGTCTCTTGTTATTTTTATCTTACCGATAAAAACACAGCATTGATATAATCTTTTGTGTATGGTTTTGATAAACACAGTCGAACTTTATCAGCTGAAATAAAGAATATGTACAAATATCAAATTATCATATATAAGTTTATCACACTCTATGAATTTATGTATCAAATGCAATAAAGACCTTAAACATATAATAAAGAATATATACATAGAATAAAGAATATATACGTAGAATAAATAATATATACATATAACAAAATATGAATATATAATAAAGCATATGTATATATTATAAAGAATATGTCAATATAATAATTTAGTACATATAAGTACAACAAATTATGTAGTAAATGTAATGAAATGAAATTAGGATAATATAAGTTACACATACTCTAGAAATTATTGGATCAAATACACTAGAAATTGTCTAGTAAATTAATTTTGGATGGCTCAATAATAAATAAAACAAGAAAACTACTTACATGCTAGTATTGATAGATCTCTGTTCTTATTCTTGTTTTCTTCTGATAAAGCTACTGAACAATCGGCTGTACTTTGTGGCGGACACACATCATTAAGCATCTGAAGACGAAGATAAATATTATGAATGAGATCCATGCATACACTACATTAGAGTGTATATTCATGTCAGAGGTATTCGAGTATTATTATGCAAACTTACCTCAAATCGTTCTTGAAGCTTTGATTTACCAGACGAACTATTGACCTTCAGTAATGTATGATAGTCTTGTTGATATGACGACACGGGAAACGTAATATCTTCAACTATATACCATACAGCTAAAGCATCATGTAGAAATACATATTGTCCCTGAACGTAAAAAAACCTCGTTTACCTTTAGATTAAAATACGTTATTGTGTACCAAGATATATATTTAAATAAACATACCCAAGTCTGGACCATGTTAACTCGTTCATATCTCATCTGTTTAACGCATTCATAGATATCTACTGAATACTCTGCGCTAGCTTCTTCTATCAAGTAATCTAATGCTATAAAAGTTCCCGTTCGTCCAATACCAGCACTGAAAAAACACAGTTATTGAGTGATTTTTTAGATCAGGGTCGGCGAACCGTTTACACACTACAATTAGTTCACACAATAAGTCTGATGGGCCATAGAACTCTATTTTGATATCTTAAAAGCATAATGTGGATGAAATGAAATGAAATGGGATTTGACGTCCTACTGTTCTGCTCCGACTGGGCTAATGAAGACGGCCCTACTCTTATATGGAATTCTAACTGCCAAGGGATCTTATACGTACACGCCAATATGTACGCGGGTCTCGGTTGTTCGTCCCATAAGAATGACCAGACAATTGCCCTTGTCAGGCCCTCCGTCCTGCATCACTGACATGGGGCAACCACGCTGGAAAATCCCGATGAATTTTTGGCCAACACCTTAGACTAACTCACTGACAGTTATGCCAGTATCCATTTCTATCGTCCAGGCATCTTGTGCACAGAAAAGTACAATTAAATAGAATAGCGTTGAGGTAAAACGATACCTATACAAAACACTTCCAAAAATGGTAATTGGCCAGCCCTTATAGCTCACGACGCATCTATACTTTCTATATAAGATCCTAGGGGAACATCATAACCACATCCTCCTTGGCTTAGAGGCCAGACTGACTCTCGCCAAAGAACACGCGCTAAGAGATAGAGAATTCATATTTAGCTTACATTTAATATTATAAGCTGGTGTGTAGTTTCCTGTATGTAGCTTTTGCATTATATATATTATAAAGATATAAAAACATAGTTAATCACCAAAGTTAATTGATCCTTGAGGTTTTATATGCATCGTGAATGTCCTACCGAGCCGAATGATAGTGTCACTGGCCATTTTCAGGAGCTTCATGCCTACCTGTAGTGTCACATGTATGGTTTATGAGATCCGTGACCAGGATAGTGTCACATCATGTATGTTTTTCAGTCGTGACGAAAGATCACAGGAAGACAATAATGCGCTACTCCTAATCATCCAAAGTATCACATTTGACGCATGCACCGCTGTTTGGCCGTCACTGAGCTCCGATATTAACTTTATTCTAACTATGCTACAAGATTTCAGAATGGCTGTAAAATACGTAAATTAGATGCGACATGTACATGGTCAATTGGTTTACAAACCTGCAGTGTACCAGCATTGGTCCTGGATGTGGTGATACAGCTTTAATCACTTTACTTCTGAATTCAACCAATGAAGCAATATCAGTAGGAACACCTTTATCAGGCCACGATGTATAATGATACTGCTTAATGGTTCTAGATCCATATTCGTCCTAGAAATTAATGTAGACTATTATATATTATTATATATTCATAATATTAAATGCCAGGAATTGAAATATATTCCCATTAGCATTTGGTTTTCTAAAAGAAATCTGATTTATCAATTTTGCCCGCAGACGTTGGAAAACCTAACTCAATGCCTGGCATTTTGCGTTTCCTTCGTATTTTAACAGACGGGAAGAAGCCACTATGTGTGAAACAGTTTATTTCACGTTTCTCAACTTTACAAAATAAATTTGTTAAATTATTTCTTAAATTTATGATTTACTGACTGGTCAGGATCTAGCGCAGACCTTTCTACATATCATTTGTCCAAAACAATAGCGATATCGCAGGACATTCGTAAATTTATAGATTGGATAAAAGTTCTCAACACATTTTGTAAGTTATAAAAAATAGAATATGCATCTTTAAATGTTTGCATGTTACTAAAGGATGAACCGTTAAGTGAAATAATCAAACACAACATTAACTATCACTATTGCTTAATGTGTGTGATCTGTGTTAGATATATCAATTCTGTGTAAAATATATACAATTGTGGAGACTATCATCAAATCCAAGCAGTGTCCATCATAGTCTGCATTTAAGAGACTACTAAAATGTCACTATCTGTTGCCCACCCCCACCCCCAACACAAACACACAATACACTGTTTGGAGCATATATATATATTTTTTTTATGAAATAGATCACCTACTTTTGTGAGTTTAAGAGTTCTAATTGCGAAGTGAGAATAGTTATCCTCGTTGACCAATGTCACTGAAATGTTACCAAATTTCATTTCTTCGCCACTGTCCGGCCAATACTTGAAACATTTCTCCTGTAACATTATATTATTATTATTATTTTATTATTAGCCTAATATTTTAATATTATACATTGTAAAAAACAAATCACCGGTTGATTGAGTGAATTCAACATAGCGAAGATGTTGTGCCAGAAACTACAAACCGCGACAAACTATTAAAACAACGTGAAGCAAAGCAGGTTGTTCAGGTGAATATTTAACTGTTAACTATGTGAGATTGTCATCGAACAAACCAGATGATATCAGCAACACGTGGTATCGGGTGTTTCTGAAATAATAACCATATTCTGTCTCCTGGACGACACTCGACATATCAAGTAGCTATACGGTAAGATTTGGTCAGAATTTATGGAGGCAATAATTTCGAACCAAATGTGTAAAAAGATATCAAAATCTACAGAGCCTAAAATTCTTCAAAACCATATCATGAATACTGGAAACTTATAATCTAAATTCAAGATGTTATAATTCGTTAAAACAATATATTACAATATTTGAGCTGTGATAGATTTAAATGAACAAATACTTTTCCCATTTCCACCAGGTTGGTCAACATAACAATCTTCCCGGTCTGTGAAACCCACAATAGTCGCAAAAACTCTTCAATAATAACATCAATTGGACCTGATAAACATAAATAAAGTATAAGAAAGCAGGAATAAAAATGATTCAAATGTAGGATGCTAAATATTACGAGAGAAAACCGTACAGTTTATCATCTTTGCCTATTCTTCACCCATGTAAGGTATATAAGATCTTTATAGCCTATGACCACATTTGGTATGTGTCTTTGTGATTAAGCATTCTACGTCAATGAAACTATCTATCATAATTACTCACCCTGTGAAGCGATATATTTCTTTTCAACATCGGAATATCCCTATGTAAAACAGGTATTAATATAAATTATATATACAATATTAAAATTACTCTATGATTAATTATACTAGTGTTGGTTAAACCGCCTAAAACTGATTAAAGATAAAAATATTTTAATTGTAAACAATTTGACAAGAATTAAAATAAATAATTTAATGAACTGTGACAGCGCGGAACTGTGTATGTATTTTTTCGTTTGAATTAAGGAAATATTACTACACATAAAAAAATGTGAGAAGTCAGATCCAATCGCGAAATAATAACTTACAGTTATATAACAAGCATTGATGTAATCAGAATTAGGGTCATCGTTTTCTATATCCAGTTTAACTCGTGAATGATCAACTGTAATAGGTAATATAAATATAATTATATAACATGTGTTTATTTAAATATGCATTATGTAAGATTTATATAAAGAGCCGTCTGTTCTCGCTATAACATATGCTTATTTAAAGATACATTATGAAACATTTAGATAAAGAGCTGACTGTTCTCGTTATAACATATGCTTATTTAAAGATATATTATGTAAGATATATATAAAGCGCTGACTGTTCTCGCTATAACTTATGCTTATTTAAAGATACGTTATGTAAGAGCTGACTGTTCTCGCTACAATAGCATCGAAATACTTGCTCTACTTGCATTTAATGTATGATGTTCGTATTTAATATAAAAGTCTCATGTATAACATACAATACTTTATATTGATTAAGATACTTACAAGCACATAAATCCTTATATCTATTTTTAGGCTTATTAACAGCATTCATACAATAATCAGTAGCTGAACATAGTCCACTTGGAAGACTCTGAAAGGGAATTAATATTGCTAACATTTAAATGTTTTATCATAAAAGTAAGGAAAGGAAATGGGGTTTAACATCCTACTGTGCTGCTCCGATCTGGGCTAATGAAGACGAACATACGCCATACAGTATGCTATGAGGGAAATTTTTCCCGGACAGCGGCACTACGGCCTACTCTTATATCGAATTCCAACTGTCAAGGGATCTTTTACACGGGACCTCGGTTTTTCGTCCCATCCGAACGACTAAACAGCTGTCCTTGTCAGGCCCTCCGTCCTGCATCACTGACAAAGGGGGGGGGGGGCACGCCGGAAAGTCCGGATGAACTTTCTCGGCCAATGCAGGGATCGAACACCCGACCTCCAGGCTAGCGAGTCAGCGTTTTACCCACTTAGACACCGTGATCCCCCTTTATCATAATAAGAGATTTCATATATGTCGACCGTCTCCAATAGCCCAGTTCAGACAAATAGAAAGTTAAATCACATTTCATTTCATTTAATATAAGTCGCGCAATAAAAGGGGTTTTGATGTTTCGTCATGACAATAATTCGGTCAGTTTATCGAGGGTTATGTTACGTACAAGGTTGACCTCAGTGTTTCGTAACATTCGACGGACTAGACTACGTTGGCATTGCCACACTTACGGCCTCTACCCTAATATAGTCGTTCGTTATCACATATACGTTCATATTACAAAGTAACCGCCGGGGAAGTCAGTTCGAGGATACGTTGAAACTCTTCTTTGTTGTTGAAGTAATATCAATGAGAAATGGTTCTGTATTTTGCGGTAATGTAATATTTGTAATATAATCAGCTAAGTTATTTTTAACATGGTTAAGTTTTAAAAAATAACCTAGTTTAGGCAAGTTCGAAGATAGCTTCGAAACTATTGTTGTTTTAAGGAATATCACATTATGAATGTGAAATGTTCCTTTTTTATTTTGTAACATTTGGAATATCATATATTATTTTTCATAAGATCAAGTTAACCCTGCCAGCCCCAGTTCGCAGAAACGCTGACATTCTAATTGGTTGTGGAAGTAACATCACACGAAAAACGAATACATGCCCTGTTGATTTACTGAGAAAAATTCAATCTTATCATGTCACGTTTTTTAGGTGAAGCACATATTGAACTATATATCATGTAACATATTCGTATTCATCATCAAGATCCTTCAAATAACACATCGATTCTTATAGACGGAAATATTTTCTCAAAATCGCAATTTCCAATTGCTTTAAATTCATGGTCAAACCAATTTCATCGTTTTTTGTTTTGTTCGGGGAAAACCGGAAAACTCGACGAAAACCCATTGGATCTATTGACTGTTACCTACATGACTTCACTTCTGGGATCGAAACCACATCACTTGTCTCATGGAAGAACTATATCATCTGCAGCAGATGCATTATGTTAGCTTACCTCATATTCCGATTTGAGTGTTTTTCTTCTGGATTTGATGTATTGCAACAGATTGATCAATTTAACACGTGTAGAAGATTCAGTTGGTTCATCAACGTTTACATAAACCTGTGCTGCCTGTTCTTCGATTTCTAGTTGGTCGGAAGATCTTACCAGATTAACATATGTATTACCACTGACTGTAGGCTTTTCTTCCACTAAAATAAAACAGAATAATAAGTAAACTTTTACAATACAAAATCTTTTATATTGTTTATTTAATTCAGTCGTTATAATCCGTATTGTAGCAGATTTTGACGTCAATTATGCAACAGAAAACGTCTTTCCGTTGAATAGTAAAATTGGTAATTTCCCGGTTTCTACTTGATTAACTGTAAGTATACGACATTGCACCGACCTTTAACTGTTTTTTCTGAAGCTCTTGATACATTAGTTGATACATCAGTTTTAGCATTTAGTGGTATATCGTTCACCTCAACTTGGTCAGAATCAGTTGATTTTTGTCGCCTTTAAATAAAAAACAAAACCCTTAAACAATAACACGCGTACCATTGATCATTTAAAAAAATACCGAAACTGGTTTTACTTAAATATCGAATCTTCATTTGTTCGTAAAATATTAGCATTCATTCAGTTTTCAACATCAATGTTAATTGAACAAGGAATGCCATCGCTGAAATTAGAACATCAATTATTTTTATTGTATTTTTTTTGTAATTTATAAGGTGCACTTGGTGGTGTTACAATCTACGAACGATTCAGCTTACCTTCTACGCTTCAGGACTAAAAGAATAACAACAGTAGCGATCACAACCACAACCACAGATGACACCACAGCAGCTATTATTGTTGTAGAACTGTCGGTTTGTTCGTCTAGAATAATACAAATTTTGGTGAAATAATGAAATGGGATACAAGAAGATATCCACTCAGACAAATTACTGTCTGTAGTGTGAGAACGGACTTGGCATTAAGGGTATGAAGATGAGAAGGCTCTGGAATGCATTGGGTAGTGCAGGTTTCGCCAATGTCCGAATGAAATTGAAGGAAAACGCAATAAAGCAAATATGCCAGATACCTTCTTTACTATAATATATTACCCAAAAGTTTATATCGTCGCAGTCTAATGATGTGTTGACTAGCAAAGTTACGAGTGAAAGAGAAACTACCCGACTAACTGTTCTAAAATACTGTAAAATGATTAATAATACACCGCAACTAGCTTACCCATACATGTTGGACCCTGAAAGCCATCAGCACAACCATCAAGTCCACATCTACCAGTGATTACATCACATGGTATTTTATTACGACAGTTACCACAACTGTTGGCACAATTATCACCATAGTTACCTGCTTCACAATCTACAAAGATAAGACAAATACTTACAATGATACAATAACCATATTTACTTTCAGTTTTCACTACCTGCTTCACAATCTGTTAATACAAGACAAACATTCACAAGTACAACATTTATTGTCACAGTGTTCACTATACCTCCCTGGGTGACAATCAATATATTGTTTATCCCCATCCATTGATGTTTTAAATCCGTGGTTCAAAAACTATTAATACATGACAAATACTCCTAAAATATATGTTTCATCATCTATCGGTCAGCACCTACAATTGGGTTTATTATGCCCTTAAAACAAGCATTATTAACATAATCTATTATAAACGATGTTTTCTTGCTATTTGGCCAGCAATATAAACATTGATTGATCAAAAATATAGATTATTTAGATGAGAATTGTGATTTCGAGCGCTCTATACGTATATTGACGTGCTTGAAACGTTTTCACACTACTTTCAAAATGATATTTTGCCATTTCAATGGTAGTCCTAATAGTATAAACATAGACTAAATTCAGAGATTAGTGGCACAATAAATATATTCAAATGTGCGTAGAAAAAAATATATTTACCTGTTGTACAATTTGATCCTATTTTGCCAGGTACACATCCATTTATACAATCTCCTTTCATCTGATCACATAAACCAACAGTTGTACCTATTAATGGTTTACAGTTAGTATTACATAGTTTATTACATGATGGTCCCCATCTTCCATCTATACATTCAGTACAAGAGTTGACATTATCCTGATTACAAACAGTACAATTATTATTACAGTTGATATTACATCTGTCTCCAGTTTTACCTTTAATACAAGATGTACATTTACCATCATTTCTATCACATCCAGCATCACATCCTGTATTACAGCTCATATCACATTCATTACCATATCTTCCTATACGACAGTTAGTACATCTATCACCATTCCTATTACATCCACCATCACATCCTGTATTACAGCTCATATCACATCTTTCGCCATATCTTCCAGTAATACAGTTAGTACATCTACCATTTCTATCACAAGTAGTCGTAGCCTGGTCTGGGCTTGGTTGACATTCTGTACCGCATGTTAGGTTACAGTATGGACCAACTGTATCAGGTTTACAGTCATTACATCTACCATCAGATTTAGAACATTGATTGTTTAAACAACCATCATTACAGTCCTGTTGACATTTTGTACCATAAAAACCAGTTTTACAGTTTCCAGTACAAACACCAGTTGTAGGATCACATGTATTATTATAACATGTCTGACATGGTTGGCATGTAGAACGTGTTTTATTGAAGTAACCGGTATTACATTGTACTAGATCTGTAATATAAATGTCATCATTATAAAATGGAATAAAACCCGTCTTTATTAGCGTTAACCCTCATGTCATTTGTAATAAAAACATGGATGCCATGTAGAACTTAATGCAGTGTAGTATCCAATATAGATGTACGATAGAACAGTTGACAGGCCGTGACGCTGCAGCCAGGCAACATTTCTCTTACAGCACACTCTTTTGCGTATTACCTTCTTCATGAACCATTGTATATTAACCGTCTTCATTAACCATCAGTTAATTAAGTCATAATCTACCACGCAAAGTTACTTTTTTTTTAAGGTTGTGTTAAGTATCATTGTTAAGGTTTGTCAGTTAATATTGTCTTATTTAAGTTTTCAGATAAAATTCAGGAAATTCTGCAGAAAGTTATATTAACAAGTTCTTTGGAATTTAGTCTTCAATATTATTTAACATCAAATGATGATGAATTAATCATATTAGAAATGAAATGAAATGAAATGGAGTTTAACGTCCTACTGTTCTGCTCCTAACCTGGGCTAATGAAGACGGGCATACGCCATACAGTGTGCTATGAGGGAAATTTTGCCCGGACAGCGGCACTACGGCCTACTCTTATATCGAATTCCAACTGCCAAGGGATCTTTTACGTGCACGCCAATGTGTACACGGGACCTCAGTCTTTCGTCCCATCCGAACTACTAGACAGCTTTCCTTGTCAGCCCCTCCGTCCTGCATCACTGACAAGGGAGAACCACGCCGGAAAATCTGGATGAACTTTCTCGGCCAATGCAGGGATCGAACACCCGACCTCCAGGCTAGCGAGCTAGCGTCTTACCCACTTAGCCACGTGATCCCCTAATCATATTAGAATTCTCTAATTAGACAATTGTAGGCCCATGCCAAAACTGATGTGACTATAAAATGTAATAACTATTACTGAAGGATGAATACATAACCGGTTAATTCCAGCCAACGTCCCCTCACAGATCATCATACACATAGGCGTAGGAGCCGGGGGGGGGGGGGGCAAATCCCCCCAAAAATTTATTTTCGGACAATGAAAAATTCGACGACCTTTTTTTCTATTAACGTTTAGAGAAAAAAAATATAACTAACTTATTTCTATGAGATCCACATAGGCGTAGGAGCCGGGGGGGGGGGGGCAAATCCCCCCAAAAATTTATTTTCGGACAATGAAAAATTCGACGACCTTTTTTTCTATTAACGTTTAGAGAAAAAAAATATAACTAACTTATTTCTATGAGATCCACACTGCCCAAAAAGTATTTTCTCGTCTTTTACTTGTCCACTGCATGCCCGAAAATATGCCCGAAGCTCTCTTACGATATGTATGCCCGAAAAAACGGTATTGATATCGGGCAATTTTCTCTTATGCCCCCCTGAATTACTTTGAGCTCCTACGCCTATGATCATACACCTTTACTATCACGTGAACTCAAGCTTGTACCGACTACCAAGGGGTGGCTACGTGGTAACGGATTCACACGACTACGTCAGTACTCTCTGTCATCAAGACCAAAGACCTCAAACCCATTAAAGGTCAGAATCATATATCAAACCAAATATTCTACCAACTTAAACCTACTCAACCTCACCCGCCTTATGCCAGAGCGCCTATCAAAATCATTAAAAAAACAATGCAAAGCCAGGTTACGTGTGTGTTCCAGGCACTCATTATACTACAGTTCAGTGCCCCTCCAAATCATTATCACGCTAGCCATAACTGCTAAATCATTCATTTCAGACTCCAACGGATTTTGCAGCAACATTAAAACAAAATGACTAACCCTGGGAAACACGTAGCATACGATATCCTCGACTTTTCTATCAATGTACCACGAACTGTAGCCATTAACACCCCATACAGTAACATTGGCGAAACATTAACCCCACTCGTCACCAGCCTCACCACTGACAACATCACTGCCACTTATTTCACATGAGGAGGAGACATATGCATAAACTATAGGAATACCAATGGGAAACCCACCTAAGTTTACCTAACAGTATTGGAACTTCACTATTGGAACGGAAACTGACAACAGCATTCCCTTCTAAGTTGGCATTGTCCAAAGAACCAACGACTCGTTTCAAAGAAACAAACACATAGCGATCAACATCTTCCTTATAAATCCGTCCACTGTACGCATATCAAGAAAGCAATTATATAACCACGAACACTTACTAACTACAAAGTCAACAATAACGGATCCATCAGCAATCCGCGTCAGCACAAATTTCAACGGCAGTCCATCCTACCATCGCCTGACATGATCGCAACAAAATCAATTGGGGTAATACAAAACATTGACAGTTAACCAAACAAGGCAACTCTTAGAAGCAATCAACATCAAAAGACAAAACCGAACCGTGGTCCTGTTCTGTTCATTCCAAGAGCATGTGTCAGACTAATCAAGTACGCCACTCATCCAGATTATCTAATGCTATT